GGACGGGGTTAAAGGAGCAGCTGCTGCTTCGGGGACTCTGGCTCACTCAGGCCGGGAGAAGGGAGGCGTATGGAGTTCGGGGCGAGCCTGCAACGGCAGAGGCCGGCGTGACGTTGCACCAGCCTGAGGCGCGCCGTGCTGCGTTCTCCCGGGGAAGCTGTCCCTGAATCCCGGGACCCTGGCAGTGGCGAGCTGCACAGGCTCCCGGAAAGGGGGTGTGGATAGTGATCTGTTCTCGCACAGAGGCTTCTTGGTGGCAGCAGCAGCAGCAGCCTTAGCGTCCCATGCCCGTCTCTGAGGTCCGCGCTGTTTTTAGCCGCGGCTCGCGCCCGTCTCTGGAGCTCCTTTAAGTAGAGCTTTTAATCCCCTCTCCTCGCGCACCTGGAAACAAAGAGGGAAGAAAAAGTCTCTTGCCTCTTCAGCAGCTCCAGACTTTTCCCCGGACTCCCTCCCGGCCAGCCGTGGCGAACTAACCCCCTGCAGGCTGTGTTCACGCCGCCAACCCCAGTCCTCTCCCTGCGCTCCGACAGAAGCCCGAGCCTCAGCTCCCAGCCCCGCCCGCCCCGGCGGCTGAGCAGACAAGCCTCTCGGGCTGGTGAGCGCCGGTCGGCACCGATCCTCCGTGCGGGAATCTCTCCGCTTTGCCCTCCACACCCCTGTCGCTGCGCTCCCCTCCGCGGCTTCGAAGCTTTCCCGAAACCTCAGCCGTCCGCAGTCTCCGCCCGCGAAGGGGCTTCCTAGTGTGTAGAAACCTTTCCTCCTTCACTGCTCCCTCCCGCTGGTGCAAGTCCCGTCCCTATTCTTTTGTCTCTGTTTTTCCTTTTTTCTTTTGCCCTACCCAGGTACGTGGGGAGTTTCTTGCCTTTTGGGAGGTCTGAGGTCTTCTGCCAGCGTTCAGTAGGTGTTCTGTAGGAGTTGTTCCGGTAATTCTTTCATGTAGTATTTACATCAGGAAATCTTGTTTCCACCTCTACCTCTTTACATCCAGTTTCCCCTGTACCTTTTAGGTAACTTTTTATTTGGGTGTGTGTGTGGGTGGGTGTGTTTTCTGGGTTTCTTCATGTAGCAAGAAGAAAATAGAAAGATATATTCTTATTTCTCCGCTCCTCTTCATACACACAAGGTATCATACTGTATATACCATTCTGTATTTTGCTTTTAATGTTTACGTAGGCTATCCTGGAAATTTTCCATTTCCACATATAGCATGCTTAAATATTCTTTTTTATAGCTATAGATTCCATTGTATAGATGTACTATAGTTTACCAGTTAAATTATGGTATACCGAAAGTAGGCTTCCTTGATCAAAGATAAATTTACATTTGTAATTTTGATAAGAAACTTTCAAATTTTGCTTCACAGGTTTTGCTTAGTCTTGCACTGCTATCAGCAGTGTATGAGATGCCTGTTTACCATAGTCTCATCAACAGAGTATGTTGTCAAACTTTTGTTTTTTTTTTTTTTTTTTTTTTTTTTTCCTTGCGTTATGCGGGCCTCTCACTGCCGTGGCCTCTTCCATTTGCGGAGCACAGGCTCCGGACGCGCAGGCTCAGCGGCCATGGCTCACGGGCCCAGCCGCTCCGCGGCATGTGGGATCTTCCCGAAACAGGGCACGAACCCGCGTCTCCTGCATCGGCAGGCGGACTCTCAAGCACTGCGCCACCAGGGAAGCCCAAACTTTTGTATTTTTGCCAATGTGATAAATGAAAGATATTTTGGCAAGTTTGATTTTGCTTTTCTCTGAGGTTGAACACCTTTTCGTAAGTTAGAAGGCCGTTTATATTTCTGTTTTCCTGAACTGTCTTTCATGTCCTTTGCCCGTTGATCCTGATCTCAATTTTTCAGGAGCTCTTTATATATCATGAAGATTATATGCCTCTTATATAAGTTACAAATATTTTTTTCCCAGTTTGCATTTGTCTTTTGACTTTGCTTATATAGTCATCCCTCAGTATCTGCAGGGGATTGGTTCCAGGACCCCCTAAGGATACCAAAATCCTTGGATGCTCAAGTCCCTTATATAAAATGGCATAGTATTTGCATATAACCTATGCACATCCTCCTGTATACTTTAAATCATCTCTAGATTACTTATAGTAGGCAAATTTAAGTTTTGCTTTTTTGGAACTTTCTGGAATTTTTTTCTGAATATTTTTGATCATCAGTTGGTTGCATCCACGGATGTGTCACCCACGATATGGAGGGCTGACTGTAGTATGTTGTGTGTGTTTTGCCATCTACAAAGTTCTTAGTTATGTGTAGGTGAATTTAACATTTTTATGGCTTCCAGACTTTGCATCATAGATTTATAAGCCTTCTTCACTTGAGGTTATAAAGGAGCTTGCCATGTGTTTCTTTCAGTTCTTTTATGGTTTGTCCCCTCCTTTCAACATTTAAATATTTGATCCATTTGGAATTTACCCTAGTATGCAGTATGGGTGAACCTTTTTTTCCTAGATTGGTTCCAGTAATTCCAACATCAGTTATTTAAAAGTTCATCTTTATCCTATTTCAGATGCTGCCTTTATTTTATTTTGATTTTCTTTATGTGTTGGAGTCTGCTTTGGTCTTTCTGTTTTATTCTGTTGGTGTGTCAGTCTGTTGAACAGTTATCATGAAGGAACAGAAATCAGCCTATAGAAGTGAATGAAGGACTGTTAGGTGACTTTCCCTTGGTGATAAGAGTGGAAAACCACATTTTTGCCTACTGATGAAACATATATACACCTTGGAATCAACCTGTTCAGAGAAGCATAAGGGAGCATAGCTATATTAGAAGATGGCATTACAGGAGTCCATGAGGGGAATTACCAAAGGAACTGAAAGGTTGATAGCCCCAGCCCATTGATGACCTTGTATGCCATATTAAGGAATTTGAATTTTGTCCTATAAATAACTGGAAAATTTTGAGAAGACTAATGAAATGTAAGGTTATACCTTAGAATGGGATTCTAAATCTGAGTTCAGTGGACTCCTCAGCAGTCCATAATGGGCTTGAAATTTTATGTTCCAGAGAGAGTATCTAAGGGTTTCATCAGGTTCTCAGAAGTATTTGACATGCACACATGTTAAGAATACCTTCTTTAGAAAGATTTCACTGATAACATGGGGATAGGATAGATTGGATGGGGTTTAAAACTGAAGATAGCGTTGTCAGTCAAGAAGTTTTTGCTTTAGAATAGGCAGAATATGAGTTGCAGAGGGAAAAAGTAAGCTTTCCCTTCTATTCATTATTTCTGGGAGGTATGGCCAGTTCTCACGATTTGCAGTAGTTATGTTCTATACATTCCCTGCAAACACTGAATTAGTGAATACTGAACGATTGCTCCTAGGAGAAATGCAGGATTACTGTTATAAATGAGCCAAAGATGGCCTCTGTATACTGGCCCCTAGATTGTTTATTTCTTCACAGCCGACTGGGGTTCATTAGCTTAAAAGTCACCTGGCACTTGTCTACAGTATGAGAACTAGAAAAAGAAGGCAGTGTCACCTTGATTAACCTCAGCTGGGAAAGTATGCCTTGAGCAACTCAAATTTTTCAGTCCTCTGCGCATGTCTGCAAAAGCACTGCAAGTATTGATTTTGGGGTTACAAATAAATTTTAGCAAACAGACAAATTTGCAAATGCAGAGTCTATGAATAAAGAGGATCAACTGTACCAGTCCAGTCTCTTGAATATTTCCAATGATGAACCTACTCCCTCATGGTAAACTTTTCCCTTGCTGGATAGTTTTAACGGTTATATTGAGCTAAAATCTGCCTCCTGTGTTTTCTAATCTTAGGTCCTAATTTGGCTTTCTCGATTGTTCCCCTTCAATATACCGTTTAGATTCAGCTGTCTTATATTCATTTTCACTCCATTTTTCCCCCTCTATAATAAGTTTCCCAATTTCTTTGGAAACCTTTGGTTTGCTGAGTACTTTAGTGATTTAAAAGAATGAAACCTTTAATTTTGTTATTAACATTTCCTCTGTCTGCACTCCCCTCCCCCCATAAAGACTGACCAACCTGAACTCCCATTGCTTCACTTCAGTCTACACTGTCAGTCCTTTTTCAGTTTTAAATTGTTTGGATTAATATCTGGGGAGATGGGTTGCTGGCAGAAAAGGCCAGGATAGAGATAACTTCAAATATACAGAAACATTCTTATCTCTATTTTCAGTGCCTCTTTTCTCCCTGCTCCTAATGTCATCTCTACTTCTCCTTAGGTTAGCTTTATTCTGTAGCCAGGTTTTCTCAGTGTACTAGGGAAGATGGCCATTAGGGACTCCAGATTTCTATCCTTTTGGAACACTTTACAGTAGAAACAGAAACTTCTCTCGACCAGTGTCCATCTGTCAGTTAAGGAAAGAACTCTGGTACTGTTTGGGTCATATATCTAGCCCTGGATTAGGGATATGGGAAACTGATTAGCCGGCTTATGTCATGTGTAGCCAGAAAAGTAGTGACCCTTGTGATTGATGGCCTCTCCAGAACCATGTGGTTTTTAGGGAAGGGTGGGTTCCCAGAGGAAATAGTGCCAAACAACTAAACAGCAAATATCAACTATACACATTAAGACAGGTATTTTCTTCTGCTATGTTTAGGATCAGTAAGACAACTCTTAGGGACCATAATTATGATTGAAGGATTAGAGTTTTCAGCTTTGAACAATGTTGGATCAAAATTGATTTTGCTTTAAATGTTGACATCTATTATTTCTCAGCAGTGAGCACATAAGGATCTGTAGTATTTTCTGTTCTTTTATATGTTTAAGATATTTTGTAATTTTAATAAAAAACTAAAAATTAATTTTGCTTTGATTTAAGTTGGTGAGTAATAATAGATACTTGAGTCATAATTTCCCATTAATATTAAGTTAGTGAAATAATTTTCTGACACAGTAATCCATATGACATTTTAAAGGTGTTATAAAGGTAAATTATTGGTTTTTTTCAATGATGTGGAAAATAAATAATTTATTTCCTTTACCTCATATCATATGTTTTTGATACCATAGGTACCTGCAAGGTGTGGAGTTACAGTCCGGGACAGCCTAAAGAAAGCACTGATGATGAGAGGTCTAATCCCAGAGTGCTGTGCTGTTTACAGAATTCAGGATGGGTATGGTTTGTATGTGATGTGAAACTTTGTTTAAAAAGGAAAAAAAAAACCCTCAGACATGAAATTTTGGGGTTTTCTGTAAGATCTTTACCCAGACCTAGGGTATTGAAAATCAACTTCAGGAAAAAAATATTAATACTAAGTTAATTAGCCTAAAGAAATCTTGTAGGCCCTTTGAGGAGTTAACATTAGATAATTTCTTGTGATGATAGTGTTTGTTTCTCTGATCAAATGACTTTGTTTAGAGTTTGAGATTCTTAAAATTTTTAACTATTTTTTTATGTGTCTTATTTGAATAATGGACTCTTTGCCAGTCCTTTATTTTTAATATAAACGCATAGTTTCACAAAAGACTTACCAAAATTAACATTTTATATTGAATTATTTTTCAGAAAGCATCTAAAATTTTGCCATGAGCCCCCCAACCCCAATTTTGAGTCCCGTTTTTTTAAAACAAAAAAAAAGTCTCCTTTTTGGGGCATATTGTCCCTTGAGTACTCTTTTTCTTTGAATGGGTACGTAAATCTGTACCTGTGATTTTTTTTTTTTTTTTTTTTTTTTTTTTTTGGACCCCAGGAACAATCCTTTTTCTGCTGTTGTAGGTCTTTTCTGGAGCTGACTTGAAGAAAAGAGTACATCTCTTTACCCTGCTGTTTGTCCAAGAGTGATACATTTATTTGGGGTAAACTTAAAAATTAATTTATTGCCATTTAAATTTCTAACGATGGAGGACCAGGGAGCCAAAACGCCCTCACCATTACTAGCCCCTCAATAACCAAGTTTCATATCTTCAGCATGAGGTTTCTGAAGATCTTTACGTATGATAACCAAGAAAAGCTGTGTCTACACTTTTCAGAGAGAAGAAACCAATTGGCTGGGACACTGATATTTCCTGGCTTACTGGAGAGGAATTGCATGTAGAAGTGTTGGAGAATGTTCCACTTACAACACACAACTTTGTATGTACTTTTATATTTTTTTAATGTCAAAAATCTTCAAGTTCTTGTGAATGAATTTTTATGTAGAGAATATGAAGTATGGATGAATAATTTTGACACTGATATTTTACCTAAGTTGAAAATCAGTTCTGTTATTTAAAAAAACAACACATATTTAAAGAGTTTTGTTTTAATCATTATACTTTATTTTTAATTTAAAAAGTAATAACATATGTATGTATATAATTGACTCACTTTGTTGTACACCTGAAACTAACACAACATTGTACATCAACTATATTTCAATTTTTAAAAATTCAAAAAAAAAGTAATAGATATTCATTATTGAAAGAAAATTCTTAAAAATTTGAGTGGTACGGAAGTATATCAAGTAAAAACGTGGAAGTACCCTACCAGAGGTAAACAGTTGTTAATTTATTGTGTAGTCTTCCAAAGTCTTTCTATATATAAAACATGTGTCTGTGAACCCAAAGTTTTCTCCTTTCTTTTTTTTCTCCCTTCCCTTTCCTTCATTATTTTCCATTTTTTAAAACTAAAAAATGGAATCATGTTTTGTATGATATTCTTTTTTTTTTTTAAGTTAAACAAAGCGTCATGGGCATCTTTCCATTTCAGTACACCTAGCTTTATAATGATTGCATAATAGTCCATAAGAATATAAATTCAGTATATTTAACCATCCCTCTTAACAGACATTTAAGTTTTTAAGAAATCTGTTATATACATGGTAAATAGACTCTTTCTGCATACATCTTGACACACTTGTGTAAATGTTTCTGAAAGATAGACTAATGGAAGTGGAATAGCTTTCCTTGAGGACTGAAGAAAGATAGATGTTAAAGCTCTCCTTCAATACTTCTCCCTTTATCTGGTTTTGCATTTGCCAGAACCTAGCCTAAGCTAAGTGTCACCAGCATGAGGCCTGGAACAGTGGAACCTCTCTACCTCAGAGATAAGGTAGAGGGTACAGTTCCAGAGCTTGAGAACCTGTCCTCTAAAAGAGTAGGCAGGAGCCAAGATTAGAGTGATCTGTAAGGCAGGAATG